TGTGCCCGGCTCTGCAGTTCAGTGGCCGCCGGTCTGCTGTGCACAGTCTGCTCCTAACTTGGAAACAAATAAATTCAGGCCTTATTCATCCCTTGCGTTCACCCAGACCAGGCTCTCTGAGGCCATAACTTGGGATGTTTCCTCTCCTTACAAAGAAAACGAAGGTGACAGAAGATGGCAGGGTTACAAACACACAAACCCCGGTGCAGAGCCAACTGCAAGCACTCTGCACAGCTGACACATCCATCAGCAACACCAGTCCTCTAGACAGGTAAAAGAAGAAGAGCTTTTCTAGGCATCATTTCGTCTCCGTGCTTCCATCTGCTCACAGCTTCATTGAATTGTGGAGCACCATGTACACTTTTCTAATGGGTGTTATTGAAGACATCCATTTTCCTTGACAGACAATTGCACCATGCCACAATTGAGTTAGGAAAGTAATGCTACATCAAGACAAACATGTTTTGCAGCATTGGTAACAGGAGAGGTGCCAGAGGAGCTGTGCTTTGAAACTTTTCATTGCTTTGTTTTACAGCTAAGTCACGTACCAGGTGACTAGACCTAAAAGCCAGACCTGAAACCTGTAGCATGGGATATGAGAGAACTACTCATGTTCAAAACTACTATGCAATTAATGTCGTTTCACCCAAAGTAAGTGAGCATTTCTGTGATCAACAGAACTAGCAAAGTTATTTCTATCAGGTTTGTACTTCAGGGAGGAACTCTTATATTGTACATAATGAAATATAGGTTATTACCATTTCAGTATTATAATTTCATGCTGTGGCTGTATTTCAACCAGGGCATACAATCAGGCCTCTTTCTTTTACAGAGCTACCCATTTCCATATAACTGGTAGGAGTCACCTTGTGGCTGCAGCTTTCCATCATATTTGCCTAGAATTGCCCAGCAGATCCAGAATTTGATAGATGAGGACAGATGGATAAGCAAGCAAATGGTGTGCTGCCATAAATGTTGTTTTCTTAGGAGCGGGCCAAAAACTGAAGGGAGTAAGGCAACTGAGTAGGGAGTGCATAAAATGGGAAATTGGATGTCTGAGCTCTAGTTCTGGCTCTCCTGATGTATAACTACATTCCAGTGAACCACCTAATGACATGATGTCCATACTTACCAGCGCTTTGTTGAACAGAGACTTGCCTGTGGGTATGAAATTAAGCAAGTACGCTACCAAGATGGCACCTTTCCATCTGACTCAGCTTCCCCCTTTGTGAAACAAGGGCATAGTTACTTAGCCTTAACATTTTGCTATGATATCCAGTTCATTTCTGTTCAGAAATAGCTTCAAAATACTCAAGAGTGTCTGTTAATCACCCTGGACAAAGCCCTGACCATCCAAGGAAGCCAAGTGTTGTTGGTCTGGGCATTTGTTTGAAGTTGTTCCCAATCTCTATGCTTAGAATAAATAATGACATTAATTACTGTAATAAACTAGTAGTATTTGTTCATAGAGTTTACCTTATAATCAAATGAGAGAATTTATCCTCTACATTTAAATTTCTCCTCAAATAAAAGCTGTTATCTTATAACCTTAATGAATCATTATTTTTCAGAGTAATTACTCCTACTGGAGTAAATGTTTAAGTACTTCTCTGTGTCCGTATTGCAAAAGCAGATGCCAAAACCCAGTTCCACATTCCTCCTGTTCAGACTGGTAACATTTCTAATGAAAAAACTTTTCTGCTTGTTCTAACCCCAGGTTTCTGGGTATCTATCAGCTCTCTGCTGATGTCTCATAAGGCAGCAGTGAAGTGTCATAACTGTGTTTGTTTCCTCTTCGGCAGCAGACATTTGATCTGTTGTTGGCCCCTGCCAGGGCTAGTACAACGCTTAATGAGCTGCATTCACTTTTAACAAGTGCTGTGGAAAGAAGAACATCTCTGGAAAATATTAGTGGTCCTGTTGAGTAGGTAATGGGACAGGAGGTATAAATGCACAGCCAGAATGGCTGAGAAGTACCCTGACGTTCTTTTGGCTTGACAACCTTTATAGCATAAATGAAAGAACATCACCCAGTAATTCCTGCCATGAAGGGAATTATTCTTTGTTTTGCTTTATTCTATAATGAAATGCTACTTTATACAATAAATATTACATTCACTTCCTGCTGGTATTTATGCTGCTCTTTCCTCCACTGTTTATATCTCTCTTTCTATTTTTACAGCATTTTCACTTCCATTCTCCCATTTCATAGTTTCTTAACACTTCAGCACCATTTCTCCCAACAAAAACTTCTGCTTAGCTCTTCCTTCTCTGGTTGCCCTGGCACAGAGTGTCCTGGTACAGACGAAGCAGGAAATAGATTTGCTCTGAGGAGGAACATGTTTCGAAGCAGGTGTCAGAGTAGGTTTCCTTTGAGAGGAACTGTAGATTGTTAACACAGTGAAAGTAAGTTAAAACCCCCTGGATGGGGAAAAGTCACTCTATTTTTTTTTAAATTACTGATTAAAAAAAAAGGATTCACAGAGAGAAACAGGCAGATTACAGGAGGTATAGGGTAGTAGACACCTTCTTAAGTTCTTAATAAGTTGCGTACTCATTTCTACCATGGACCAGTACTGAATCTGTAATCGGTGTTAAAGAGAGAAGACATGTTCACCAGTTTCTGGATCTTTTGCCATGATTTCAGAGGAAGGAAGATTAGGTCTATCTGAAGAGTGATCTTCAAAGAGAAACAGCTTAAAGACATGAGGTATCCCAATGTACCCATCTTTGAATTTCTCAGAGGAATGTTTCAACTGGCAGTATTATGTGATGAAGCATTCAGTTGTTCACAGGGATATTATTTTACCAAGATTTAGTATTGCTGCCATTGTCTTGTCACCAAAGACAGCCCCTTATGCCTATCAGGAGGGCTCAGCCAGAAGCAGGCCATGATCCACGTCTCAAAATGGCTTCACACTAATGTATCTCCACCAATCCAAACAAATTTGAACCTAAGTCGTAACAAGAAGCAGGCTTGTGTGATAACATGTAGAAAGAAGCTCCCAAGCTGGTAAATATGAAGCACATTGAGCCAAGCTTCCTAGGTCTACTACTGAATGGTGTCCCAGTGACCAGAGTACATGTGTAGGGTACTCTAGAGAAGTTGGGTCCCGGGTATGTTATCTGATGTGTTACAATGACCCTGATGGGAGAGATCAATAAGGGAAAAATAAATCTGAAATAAGTAAGGATGTTAAAACTTGGGAAGGGAAAGGGACTAGGGTATGTGACAGATGCTTAATATTTCCTCAACAGATGCATGGGCTACTTTTGAGTTCCCTCTCAGAGGTGAGCACCTTCCTTAGTGAATTCAGCTAGTGAAGTATGATTTAAGCCTCATCAAGCAACTGCATAATGTTTGAACGGAGGAGCTGATTATAAAAAGAAAAAAAATGTTTCCTAGTTCAAGCAGCAATCATCACTGTTTTCCAGGCATGTTTGAGACTCAACACTATCTGAGCTTGAAAATAAAAAGCTGGTCAAGTGCTGCAAGAGCTTGACACAGCCCCTCACTGTTTTTCCATTATTTCCAGCTTAACCAGTGCCCTGGATTCAGTGCATGCTACAAGGAGAAAGAGACAAGTTTCTTGAAGGACAGATGTTTTCAGGTTACCAGCTTGCACTTCTTTTGCATTCTGCATTACAGAAGAAAAGCCTGTTGGCTCTGCCTCATTGCTATGCGGCATGATACCTAGAAGTGTACTCATGGGCTGAGATCACATCTGGGCTAGGCATTATGAAAAACAGGAAAGAAGAAATCCCTGCTGGTTTACCTAACCACTCAGTAACAGAGTCCAGCTCCCTCCTTCTGTTGCTGTGCTGGCTCTGTGGGGTACCTTCGCTTACCATGAGTACCTGGAGGCAGTCAGAACCCTAAATTCAACATGTGGTGCAAAGCAAGGTGCTGGGAGAGCACAGCTTCAGGGCAAGCTGTTAGCAACAGAGCTTGCTAACACCTTGGCTGACAGCTGTAAATCCAAAAGAAAGTATAGCAACCAAACTGAGCCTTACACCTTGGTCTGACAGCTGTAAATCCAAAAGTATAGCAACCAAACTGAGCCTTAGGCAGCATCAAAAAAAAAAACCCTCCTGAACCAGAGCCACGTGTAGAAAGACACCTAAATTCTGGTGCTTGGGAAGAAGAGAGGTACACCCAGACCATGCAATTCCTGAGAAATGTGTGCACCTTCCTTGGCTTGGCAAGTAGAGAGCTTGTACTGACAAAAGCTTCAGTTAGCAAGTTGATGCAGTGAATGCTTTCTCTGGGTCTGCCACTTTAACAAATGCATCTAACTCAGCTTAGTGACCATGTCCCCCATTCCCTGCTTTCAAGGGAGATGAGAGCACAGAGATAACACAGGGCCAGCTTACACATTTTCCTGCTTTATTGGTTACACATCTTGAAGAGTACGACTGACTCCCCATCTGCCAAGTCATTGCAGGCATAATAAATATTAGAATTGTTACTAGCCGAGTTTAAGGGAACTTGTTTGGGTTTTTTTTGGTAGAATGATTAAGAAACCTCACCATGACACTGCTGGCAAAAATATTGTCACAGATGCTGTGCACAGCACTGCAATGAAAGCCACATGGATAGCTGGAGCAAGCTGGAAAGAATACACTTTTCATCACAATGCTGGAAATGATGGTGCTGTTCTCTCCCACGCACTCTTCATACAACCCATTGTCTGGGAGTCTAATGAACTGCTTGTATAAACAAAACAGTAATTTCCAAGAGTTCTAACACCCTTCAAAATAGGTAATGAGCATTAGCTAGTTAATAAGCAATTTGCCCACCAAAGTCAAGGAGACATGCAAGTTGTGGCACAAAAGAGAGCTGAAGAAGAGAGACTGAGAAAGAAGTGAAGCTGGCAACAGTGGTGGAAACAGGAGCAGCATGTGACCCAGCTGCAAGAATAGCCTCCACATATGATCAAGGTATTTGAAAAAGAAAGCCAGTGTTGATACCACTAGAAGGTGAGGAGGGGAGGTGGCAGCTAGAACTCCTGTGAGCAGATGTGTTTGTGGGGTGGTTTAACCAAGATGGTCTTCTTAGGAACAAGTTCAGGAAGAACGTTAGGTAACACCCCTCCTTGAGCAATGGTCACACAGCAGAAGAGCTTGTTCAGCTCCTCATCATTTCTCACAGCCAGCTGGATATGCCTGGGAATGATCCTGGTTTTCTTGTTTTCCCGTGCAGCATTCCCTGCCAGCTCCAGGAGCTCTGCTGTCAGGTACTCCAGGACTGCAGCCAGGAAGACGGCAGCACCGGCACCGATCCTGGCAGCGTAGTTCCCTCTTCTGAGGAGCCTGTAGACACGACCCACGGGGAACTGCAGACCAGCCCTGGCAGACCTGGTTTTCTTTGGCACAAGGAAGAGCTTCGCCATTTTCTTCTCACGTTCCGACATTCTATCAATCTAGTATAAAAAGAGAATGAACAAAACAATCAGATACAGAAACTGAGAATTAAAGTCCTTTCTTCTTCCTCATTTCACTGCCTTTCTAATTCCCTTAGAAGTCAGTTCCTTCCCTCAGAAATTTTGCTAGTTGTTCACACTTTTGTCTGAAGGAGCAGATGGGTCAGGCCGCTGCTCTAGGAGAGTCTGACAAGTTTCCAGCCAATAGCTCCATCTACAAACTCAGCCAGAGCAGCAGGTCAGCCATCCATCTGCTAGACAACCAAAACTTCAAGAAAACAAGATAGAACTTAGGAGCAAGGTTTTCTGATCTCGTATCAAAGGAGGACTGCTGTTAAAGAGAAAGGTTAAGCAAATGAGACTTTAAGATACTTAAAAGTTGTTCAGAGACCTTGCAGGGAAGCTTCATTGAACTTACCCCAGTAAAGACCTAAGCAGCTTCTTCAGTGATGACCTTCTGAAAGCCAGGGCTAGAAATCTTTGTCTGAAGTAAGAACAACAGAAAATAACTTCATCTAAATGGAAACCACTTCAAAGGGATCTTGTCTTGCAGAGGTGAAGGAACCTAGTGCTACAAGATAACAGGGCACAATCAGAAACAAGATTTATGGGAAGAAGAGAGGCTTTGTTTTACATCAGACACTGAAATTGCTCTGCTTAGCACACTCTGCATCAGCTTACTACAAATGCACAACTGTCACCTTCTTGTGTACTACTGCATCTATTCTAACAAGCCCCATCACTTATTACTGACATAAAATCTCTGTTACTGAGTAGTACTAATTACCCCTCAATACATAACACAAAATAACTGGAAAACAAATACAGGAAAATTCTGCTCTTGTATATGAAGTTGGTCTCAAATTTTAATCTTTAGTTGTTTGCAAGGAGAAGCTCTACCCAGATATGAGGATTAACAAAATCAGATATCAAACTACAGTGCTTAAAATACACTTAAAAGTTCTTTTAGTAGATATTTTTTTTTTTTTAAATAAGCTCTTCAAAATAGCCCACACAAGTAACTAAAAAAAATTGAAACCTTCCTTAAGCAGCCTTGTATCAAACACAGAACTTACAAAACCATTATTTCACTCAGTTTATCTAACACAAAGAAACCATAGTGTTATTTCTTAAGAACTCTCACCTAAAGAAGTTATCAGCTTGGCTTCTTTTCCAACAATACCACTACCCAAGTCTCCCAAACAACAATTTCTGACAAGAGCTGCCCCCTTTTAAACTCCATAGTGGTATCCATATCATTACCAGTTCTTGCATCATGTAATGCCACCTGGGTGAGCAACGATTTAGCCATTCAAAATAAAAGCCAATCAAGGTCCCAGCACAAGAGCAACTCGGTACAGTCACTGAGAGCATGTGAATTCTCACTATTCCTTGTAGAGCTGCTTAGCACCTTGTTAGCTGATCTCCTCTGGGAATGTGCCTGATATTTATTGCCTGGGAGAACTGCAGTAGCTCTGATTGGCACTTCATTTCTTACAGCTGGAAAGGGATCTACCTCACCTTGCTGAGGGTATCAGGAAATAAACCCAGCAACCTGTACCACTGTTCTTTTTGCTGCCAGTAGTGGCCAAGCTTCTTTGTGACCATGCTCAGGAGCCTCCAAAAGCTCAGAACTTCTGACACTGGGTTCTCTATCTTCTAGGGCTTATCCTAATCTGTCACACAGTCCCATTTTTTTTTCCAAAGTCATGCATAGCTGTGTTGCAAGGCATAATATATCCTTTCTAGGGTCAAAGGTGTGGTGACAGCTGAATAATTTTTTTTTTCTTCAATATGTGAGTGCTCAAAAATTGAGCCCTGGCCCAGCAGAAACTTTTGCTGAGCAGCTTGCTTAGGAGACTTCTATGCCCTGTTACTGGGAAGCCAGAGGAGTGAGTTTTCAGATCACTACGCTATGTGGTTAATTTACAAAGGGGCTGAACTATCAGCTAGAAGAGAGCAAACAAGATTGTTCTTGATCAAATAAATACTTAAAAAAATTACTTTTGAATTGGACCAATACTTCACCACAAACTCAGTGTTTGGGTGTAAATTGAGGTAGGGCCACGCAGCTTACTCGGTGTCTTTTATCATACAGCAAATGGCAGGTGAAAGCATTTCTAGAAGCTACTTGAGGATTGGACATGCCTCCAGGGTCTGTTTGGTGTGGTGCAGAGGAGGCTTGCAGGAGCAGCTTGCATTCAGGGACAGCATGATGACTGACACACAGTTCCCCAGATTAGCAAAGGGTAAGCACCATACTTAAAACTGCACAAAATTAGGACTTTGCTCGAGTGTTCTACCATTGCCGCAAAACTTTAGACTTTTACTTGGTCTAAAGAAATAATCATTCCCATACCTGCTTTGCCTTGCCATGGTCAAATGGAGGAATTACTTTGACTTTCATGTGTTGATTTCTCATATACCTCCCTTAAAGCTTTTTTTTTATTTACAGGTGTAAGCACGCAGCATAAGACTAGCTACATATGGCACGTCTTCTCCATACACCCAAAGCTTAAAATCCACTTTCAGACATTTTTATTTCTCACTGCTACAGCATCCTTTATTTTTTCCTCACTTCACTGGGTTGATTACAGGTCAGCAAAGATTTCATCAAACTGCACTTGAAAACCAGGCAGCATACAGCAATGGTTCCAGCTACCCACCACCCTAAAATCAGTGTCCACTCAGGCAGGTAGCTTCTCTTCCTGTTTCTGTGTGAGAACAGCTTGTGGTGAGTCATTAACTCAGCACACAGCTCTGACGTCTGTCAGCGTCATAAAACCTGGCCAGGAGGCTCTAACACCCTTGTGTTAGAGGGGCCAAAGGAGTTAAGTCAAACTCAGCAGGACAGGCAGATCTTTTTTCAAATAAAATTTCACATTCCAGCTACAGTTTAGGAAGCTGGTCCTAGCCAGCTCTTCTCTACGTGAGATGTTATAAATGTATGAGATACTGCCTTGGGGAAAGACTGATCTTCATGAAGCTTCAGCAGATTTCAGGTCTCCAGCTCAACAGCAGGCTCCAGCACCCCTTGTGAACACAGAAAGCCTGGGCACTTTCCTTGGGGGGAAAGAATCCCCATGGATTGGTCTTCTGCACTGGTAGATGGAAGCAGAACAGCTACCTCTACCAGCAGCACAAACATTACACCAGATTTTAAATAAACTACCTCTGGTTGCTGTGACAAAATGGAAGGGATAGAAGTTTAGTGTAGTATTGGAGTACTCTGAAGTGAGGTAGCTGTTTGCAGCTTTATAAGCAATAAGACTTTAAAGCACAGGTTTACTAATTTGTAAAGCAGCATCAAACCACCTCTGAGGCACTGAGCTGATTACACAAGTCTGTGACAGAGGCAAAGTTCACATGGACAGTATCTTGTCTTCTGACTAGTTCACAACAGTTACCTGTAACACATTTTTAAAAGTTTGAATGTGCTTTACTTATTTAGGTGGCATGCTAGACTTCTTTTGGAGATTGTGTGTTCCTCTACCCCTGGAAAGGAAGCTGAGAAAAAAAAAAAACACAGAGGAAAACAGTGCTGCAATCAAGGAACTTTATTACAAACTTTAAAAATGCATTAAAAGTGGTGGGAAAAACACTTGACAAAAATAAATGCATACAAATTAGTGCTACTGAGTCCCACCATCCATAAGTGCAGAGACCAGAGTAGGAAAAACAAGTTTCATAGGCTTCCACCTTGTTCCTGAGAAGCAACAGTTTCTTTGGTACTTCTCTTGGGAAGGAGCTGGGAAAGGATATTTGGCATAACTCCTCCTTGAGCAATGGTCACACAGCAGAAGAGCTTGTTCAGCTCCTCATCATTTCTCACAGCCAGCTGGATATGCCTGGGAATGATCCTGGTTTTCTTGTTTTCCCGTGCAGCATTCCCTGCCAGCTCCAGGAGCTCTGCTGTCAGGTACTCCAGGACTGCAGCCAGGAAGACGGCAGCACCGGCACCGCTCCCGGCAGCGCTGAGGAGCCTGTAGACACGACCCACGGGGAACTGCAGACCAGCCCTGGCAGACCTGGTTTTCTTCACTGCAGCTTCAACTTTGACAGCACGTTTCTTTCCACGTCCAGACATTCTGATGGGTGAGGAGGCACAAAGGGTTGAAGATCTTCAAATTACCCAGGTGTTTGGGCTACAGCTAACTGAGAGCAAGGAGAGACAACAGCAAGGTAAGCTACACTTTTTGTTCTTCCATGTCAAGAAGGCAGCTTGAAAGAGTCACACTCCACAGGTCATTTATAGCAGAGCTAAGATTCAACTCCTACTGCCCTTTCATAGCCTACCTTTTTAGGAGAGAGGCCTTGTAGTAAAATCAGAGCAGACTGTCAGCCTATCAAGAAAGGTTTATTAAAGTAGATTTGAAGAGGTCAAAAGAAAAGAGGCTTTTCCCAGTTACTTGGAATGTATTCCAGATTGAGGCATAGTGGGTTTTCAGTAAGTTTCTTAAGCACCACAATTCTTACCTCAAAGCTAACTTGAGGCCAAGCCTGCTTTTTATTTCAGCAACAATCTGCATTCTAACTTCTTCCATTATCAAGTTTGATCTTTCTTTCATGTTAAATTGGACAATTGACAAGTTCCTACAGCTCACAGTCTCTTACACCCAAAATAGTATAAGATATTTTCATAAAGAGTTCTAAATGAACTCTACAAGGAATATTCTCTGGCTGCTATGAGAGTACTGGAGATGTGCTGTCCAATTCTTCTTCTTGGTGCAGAACAATACATACTGAAGAACAGAAATTACTGTCTATTTACTCAAGATTAAGGAAATTCAGTCCAGTTAGGGTACTCTTATAATTAGAGTGCAAAAATACTCAATTTCTAATCTACAAGCAAATAGGACAGTTAGCTTGCAGCACAGCTGTTTACAATATACAAGGACATCCATCACTAGATTAATATGTAGGATTTTGTATAGTTTTTATAAAGACATTTAAAAATTTAAGAAAAGTCAGAAGAAGATTCAGAAGGAAGGTTTTATAAGGTAGTTTTTATAAAGAGATTTAAAAGTTTAAGAAAAGTCAGAAGATTCAGAAGGAAGGTTTTATAAGTAAATTTAACTATTTAAGAAGAGTCAGAATAAGATTTGGGAGGAACAAAAAAATCCCAGCCCATAATAAAATCCAAACAAACCAAGTCTTAATTCCTTAAACCTATTATCAGACAGTAACTTTCACATTCTGATTACTCACATTACACACATGCAGATGTACTACAAATACAGCTAACTTACAAAATAACATAAAATCCACAACTCCAAATCTTTCACTATGTATTATAAATGGAAAAAAAAAAATCACATAATGAAAACTATATCCTATTACCTTCAAAAATTCTTATTTTGGCTTGATCTGTGCTTTTCTACAGCTTATGCTCAAAAGCAAACAACGCACATAACATTTTACCCCCTACCCTGGGGCAGAACCTTTTTATGAGGAACTTTTTCTCCTCATCAGTGGGGTCACCTGGACAATTAATGAGTCATTCTCACATGTGGTTCTTCTTCCCTCTAATACCTGATTTGGAGGCAAATAAAGAAATACGTTCTGGAGGCCCAGAAGCAAGTTCTTTGGTAGAAGGAGTGGGAGAAGTCGGGCTGTCTCCAAGGGCCGAGCCACAGCTATATTTCTGTCTCACTGTGGCACTGCTAGCTCTCACCCACTCTGGCTGGAGTGTTTCTGTCTGTACACCGTGGCTGAAGCTTGGTTAAAAAAGTACATAGGGCAAATGTGCTTTATAAATACAATATATTTTTAGTTAACCGGGAAGGGGGAAGCTGTGTAATGCTTTATGGGCAGAGAGAGTTATGTTTCTTTCACATTGTGTTGGAGCCCCACCAAGTGATGTAATGGGACTGCTCCTAAGATTTGGGCTTCTGCCCCCTCTTCTGGTAACACTCTGCCTCAGATGGGGCTCAGGGTTTACTGTGGGCACAGAGTTGTTCTGGTGCCAAGGGTCCTCGGCAAGTCCCTCTCAGTTCACCTGGGCAAAAATCTCACCTAATGCAAATGAATATTTTTTTAAAATGAATGCATGCTTCCTGCACGTGCTCTTCTTGTGTTTGTTTTCTGGTGTTCAAAATAGGTTCCAACCAGCAATATACAAGAGCCATGGGTGTGAACTGTATTTCAGCCACAGAAGATGATTATTAAACTAGCAGGTCCTCCTGAAAGCCCAGCCTCTGAAAAAAACTTTTGTACATCAAAGCTGGCATCAGCAGCTAAGCCTTTGGTTCTGCATGACAAGCACTAACTGTGGGTCAGAGCCAAAAGACTTTGGAGTACCTGCAGAAAACTCCAAAACTGTGATCCCAAAAACTTTACTTCACAAACCACCCTACCAAAAGTCTCTGTAGCCCTTTACTTTCTGATCTGAAGTTCTCATGTTATCTGTACTGGTGGCTCCATCTATCACTCAGTCACTTTCCCCCAGGGATGTTTAGTTCAAACTGGGTGAGGCTGGGTCCTCCTCCACCTCATGACCATGGGAGAAGGTTGTGGGGCATCCTCCATGTATCCAAAGGCTCACCATGAAGACTGATTCCATCTCAAAGTACAGCTATCCATTCCTTTTGATCAGGGGTGGAAAAAGTGGCTATGCCTTCCCTTCAGTAAACCGGACCTAACGCAGGACCGTTGCCCCAGCACGCCTCGGGAGAGACGGGTGTTAATGGGATAGCCACGATGCTGGAACCTGTCGTAACAGGCCTTCTGAGCTTCCATTTCAGGCCCCTGGCAGAGTGGAGACAATCGTTTCTCTGCACGCCCTGAGAAAACACACTCTTAAAGCTTGCTGGCAGGTTGTGTGGGGGTGTTTTTCTGCAGACTCAGAGCGGGGCTCCCTGTTTCTCGGCAAGCATGCTGACCATTGGGCTGGAGCCTGAAAGGAGGGGGAGGTGGGAGCGGGCCTCTTCCCCCTTCTCCTCTTCTGCACCTCTTTGAGAAGAAAATGCAAAGTCTGCTCAATCCTTTGAAAGGGCAGAGGTGCCTGTTTTATGGAATAAGGTGTTTATCCCAAATGGATTAGAGTCACCACACTCAATCCTCTCCTTGGTGTTTGATAAGTCATACTTTAATACAGACTCAAAAATAAAATAAAAGTAACTATCTAGACATAAATTTCTAGTAAAGCTAACTGGCTACAACCCAGTCCTAACAATATTTTAAATACTAATAATTATGTCTGATAACAACATATAACATGCATTCGATTTTTTTTAGTTTTATTTTTTAACAGAGCAGGGAAAGAAAAATGAGGAAAGAAGCCGGCAGGCAAATAAAGAAGGATATTAAACTCAAACTCACAAAAAGGAGCTCAATTAAGTGAAAGAGGAAGAGTTATGGAGGAAAACTAAGGCAGAAGAGAGGTCCAAAACTCACCAACATTATCGGGCTGCTCCTAGGGAAGTGTTTGCTATTGCTGACAATTTCTTTGGTGTGTTTCTATGACACTTCCCAGTTTAGTTTATGCATTCGAGTTTATGATGGCTTCGGGACATTGGTTGGCAGGGTGAGGAGCTGAGGCCATGCCCATGGGATCCCATGTCTCATGGCCACGCTGCTTCCCCTGCATGCCCTATGGAGCCACACCATCCAACAGGGATAAACCAAAAGGGGCTGGGCAAGGAGGAGAGGGGCTCACAGCTCTGCCACCTCACTGCCAGGATGCCCGTGAACTCATTTTAGCAGGGCTGACCCACAGGTGAGAGCAGAGTGCAGGCAGGTGCTAGGAACTAACTCACTGTTTTAACTTCTGAAACAAGAGTTTCAGATCATGCTACATATTTTTCAATCTGATCTCAAATTTCCTGTTTAGCTCTCCACTGTGTAATTCTTTTCCCGGGTGTGTTTAGCAGGCTACTTTTATAGGACATCAATTTGTATCCCTCGCTGTGCTTGCTGAAGCAGTGACAGAAGAGGCAAGGCAAGAGCAGAGCCGTACTGCAAGCCTGGCTGAGCTCCGATGGGGAGGGTGAAGTGTGCTGACTGTGAGGCTGTGCCACCTGGAAGCTGGGCAGGAATCTCTCTGCCCTCCACGACTTACATCCTGCATCATTTCCAAGCTGATGTTGGTTTAAGAGGTATGAGGAGAGGTGCAGGGTAGCTGGGTTAAAGCTCTGCTGAAAGACGCAGCCACGGCGGCAGCGGGCACAAGTGGGTGCCCACCACGGCTGCTGCAGGGACTGGTGCCCGTCAGTCCCAGGCAGCCCCATTGGGCACCCAAAAAGGCAAGAACCGCCCCCCGGCAACGCCTCCA